CTCTGTGCCTGACCCTTTCTCACGTTAAGATCTAGAAACAAGGATTGCGAAAATGAACGCTCAATAAAATTAGTCAGACTGCAAGAAACCTATGACCCAGCGGCTATGGCGTTTTTGCTCACCAGTGTGATCAGAGTTTTTTCACCCGCACCCCGAGCTTTACAGCCTTAACGACGGAAAGGGTCGGAATGCATTAACCTTTTTATACAAAAAGGGGAGAAGAGCTTATCCACTTAATACAAGTTCGCCGTCTGGCTTATCTGCCTAACTAATTTCTTGGGGGGATGATCTCATCCTCTATCTTGACAGGTAAGTCCTATGCCAGAGGAGCCACCTCCTTCTCGATGTCGTCTAGCTCAGTGTCGGTGTAGACAGGCACGAGAACCGTCACAGGTAAAGAGGGATACGGAGCTAAAAATGCTCCTACGGCCCATTCAGGCCTAGGAGTTTGAAGGCTGGCCCTCTGACGGGTTCACAGCCGCTCCGAGGCACCCTTAGAGTGAGGGGTGGAAAGGGATGGGCCCACTAGCGGCTAGTACCGGGGTGCACGAGCGTTGTGGGCATCTCGGTCCACGTTCGATCTTGCCGGTTCCCAGTCCATGGTTTTTCCTCGAAGAAAGGCAACGAGCCCTTGGGACTGGTCGAACGGACCCGAGAACTATATGGATTGGCCACTAAGAATCTAGAGTCGGTCACCAGCTGACCCATGTTGGACCCCCACGAATGGGAAGCCAGGGCCCCACTCGGACTAGCCCATTAACAGCTCACTGAGCACCATGTTTCGTCCATCGAGGGAAAACATGGCACGGCTCAGCCCCTCTGTTTTATCAAAAAAATGCTTGAGGGATGATGATCATAAAGACGAGACGACCCTCGACCAAACCCCTGTTATGCATGGGGGCTCGAGGGAAGTTGGACTCGTAAGGAGACCGAACGCGCGGTCGCAGTACGATGACAGACCGATCGGATCTTAGGCGTCTGAAATCAAGAAAAATCTTTCCGACCTCCCAAATCCTACGGTTACATACCCCCAAGAAGACCGATCACGACAAAAGGGAATCCTCGTCCTACCAGGACATGCCGCGGGCTACAAAAAGAAGGCCAAGGCCCTTAGAGTATTTCCTTCTAGAAAAGCCTTCAAAGGAGTATTCTACTCCTCCACAGGCTCAGGGGCTACTATCGGGTATCAATATTAGGGATACCCAAAGCAAGGTAGTTAGCACCCACGCTGACTTCCTTAGATGGCTCAAGGCATATTAAAAGGTCTTGCCCGACCCCAAAGCCATGGGCTCTATCTCGCCCGACCTCGAGGATGCGGGTTTCGTCTCGTCCGACGGGGACCCATACCGCCGCCAACCACTCCAAGTCCAAGCGTATGGGCCTGGATCAAAACTCTGACACTAGGGAAGAGGCTGGCACACCTCGATGTTACCCATGGCCATGATGGGCCATACCTAGGGAGTCACATCAAGAACAGTGTTGGGCGTGTCGATGCGGTTATGCCTAATCCTCGTACGGACGCTGACAGGCACATCAATTCACCATGACGTCCGCCGGGATGGAGTGGAACGCCATGACCGGCAGATGATGCCTGCGCATGGCGCCAGTGATGAACAAAGCCGTGACATGGAGCCATCCCTGTTGACATCTATAAGATCGGCGGGGCCCGCATGAAGGAGAAGAAGGACCCGGCAACCCTGGAAGCCTTCTTCTCTCTCGTTCTTCTCCTTTTCCTCCTCTGTAACCCATGTTTTCCCTTCACCTATAAAAGGGGAAGCAGGGCGCCCCATGAAAGGGGATATTTGAACATGGGAGATCTGGAACACAAGAGGACAACATGAGCACACAGCTGAGCAGCAAATGAGCTCTCAGCACCTGTTCACTCTTCCACCAGAGACTTGGGATCCTCTCCCTCCCTCGCTTGTTTGTAACCCCTACTGCAAACCAAGTGCCGGTAACATGAGTAGCAGTGAACTGCATATAGGGACATTCCGCCCGAACTAGTATAAACCCTTATGTCCTCCTAGCACACCATATGAGCCAAACGCATAAATACAAATTTACTCATCGGTGGTCCAAAAACACCAACAACAGCGCGTACTTGTAGCTTCGGGACGGGATGGTTGGCCAATACATCGCCACCCCGTTGAACACAAATGTGAAGGATTGGGTGCAACGATGGTTCTACATGCCATAGGGGGAACACTATGTGGCATGCGACTTTGATCAGATTCTCATGAGCAACACCAAGTGGTCGGAGAGACCCGGTGCTAATGGGATGGAGCAAGTTATGGAGCTGTTGGCATTGATCGATCGGAGAAGGGTGGATGGGGTCATAGTAGCGACAAACTTCACTTTTCAGCGATGCCAGCCTAGCAAGGAGAGAGCACATCCCGGATATGAATTCTAGGGAGATATTGATGGGACCCGTGAGGTGCCTGAGCCAATTAACTGGGGCAAAGTCATGCGGTGAATTGGAGTGTTGTTTAACCTCGTGGGGTGTCGTAGGATCAACGATCAGCAGAGGGCCTTCAGTGTAGGAACCCTCCCACCATGGATAAGAGTCTTTTTTTAGTTTTGCTTGATCCCTTCTCTGTTGCAATATACTCATTCGTTTTCTTAAAGATTCATGGGTAGGATCGGGCGGTATACTTCTCAACGGTGCCGTCTACTGACTGGGCGAGGGGTGTTGATGCTCGGACGAGTAGTCCTCAGCGTAGAACTAGCCTAGAGGCTAGTGGGGATAGCTCGGCCGACCTTGATGACGGAGCCGAGGATGAGCAGACGCCGTATGTCCACGAGAAGCTCCGGGGAAGCGGCCAGCTGGCGAGGAGCCGTCCCCAAAAAGAAGAAAAACAGCTGGATCGTCTCGCTGTGAGGAGAGGCCGGTAAGCATTGGAGCGTCGACCTAGCCTCGAAGACAGCAGGTGGTGTTGTCGAGCTCGTCGGACGACGATGGACAAGCGGCGCCTCCTTCATCGAGGGCTGTGACACCCCCGCTGTCTACACCGGCTGGGGCGGAGACTCACGAGAGGCGGCGAACAAGGGAGGATGTAGCGATAATGCCCGAGAACATGTGGGCAGCACCAGCAACAGCAGCTCGGGTGATCCCGTCAATGGTAGCCCAGACGGCTATCGCAGTCTCTGGGACCATGCGGACGACTCTAGTGGCGGCAGCACAGGCGACTACACGGGCGACTCCGGTGGCGGCGGTGGAGACGCGGGGTGTTCGGCTGCTGGGCAGACCGGTTCCAGGCGGGGACGCAGGTTCCGAGCTGTGCAGCGAGAGTCCCAGTTGTAAGTGCCTTATTTATTTGTTGTATTCCTTTGGCACGGTGGTTTGCTTCTTGATGAATTTTTTGCTTGTTGTAGTGCGGAGTCGACGGAGGTCCTACAGCCATCAGTTGCTAATGACAGAAGGCACATGGAGGAGCCAGTAGCTCTCCACAACGAGCAAGCACAAGCAAGGGCGGATCCGGTTGCCCCCACCATGGAGCAACCGACGGTTGCGGAACTGACCGCCCCTACTATGGAGGAGCCCTCAACAACTGGACCGACCTTGCCTGGTGGGGGATTGCATGGCGAGGGCGATCCTGGTGTAGAGGAGGCATGGGATGCTGGGGCGATGTCGAGTGGCCTTGTCGGAGTAGGTGCGGAGCCTACGAGGGATGCGCCGAGCAGTGCGACGCAAGGTCCACTCGGGGTTGCTGAACAAGCGTCATCTGCAACGGCGGCTGTCCGAGCGCTATAGTAGCCAAGGAGGGCACCTTTGTCGGCGGCCGCCGTTGAAATTGAGGTAAGCCTAAAGTGATCTTCTTTTTACTTTAAAGAGCGCAGTTTGTTAATCCGTTTGCCCGCTGCAGAATGTGATTAAGGTGTCCGAGCAGCGTCGGCGGCAGCTGGAGGAGACGACTCCGATACTAGAGGAGAACAAAAGTCTGCAAGCGTCGGTGAAAGACCTCTAGGCCGAGGGGTATGCACACGGTAGTAGATGAATCGGTGGAGATGCGCGTGAGGGAACCAGATAATGACACGAAACGCGAGAGACAACGATTAGATAGGTTCAGGCCGTCAATTTAACGTAATATCATACGTCATGTATCTTTGTAGATCGTATTATGAGGGATAAGATCAAAACGAGGGGAGTTCCTACCCGCCTTATGTAGCCCGAGGGTAAGGTTATAAATCGGTTGTTTCTATCTTGATCGGTTTTACAAGATAGGAAGTTACAGATATTGCGGGATCTAGCATATCCGAGCAGGTTTTCTAGATCACCGAAGATCTTTATGCAGTCTCGTGAGGCACGCCGGCCTATATCGTGCTTCGCACGGCGTTGTCTTGTAGGCTGGGCCTCCACTAGTGGCATGGCCCATGCACCGTCTTGTAGGCTAGACCTCCCCTGACGGCTCGGTCCATGAAAAACCCTGCTGGAATCGGGGGCTACACACCCACACCCCAACAGTTCCATGCTACTGCTTCTGCATACTGTGAAAGAATACTTGAAACCTTAAAAATTCCTGGATTTGTTTTTCCCTCTCTACGCATTACGCATGACGCATCCATCCGATCAGGAATCGAATCCGATGTTCTGTAAAAGCTCAAAATGTGCAGGTGGGAATAATCATGCCGGTGGTGTGCCTCCCTCCTAAGCAAAACCCCGCCATTAATTAAACAACCGTAATCACCTCCCCTTCCGTACCTGAGGCAGACCACTTGATTATTCGTCCACGACAGCATCCTTAGTTATTCAACTAATTAACCTGGTATAATATTACAGTACCATACCCTGCCCGCATCAGTGCATCTGCATACCACCCCCTGATTTATCTGCTGTTTAATCTGCTCCCTCCCATTCCCTCCTCTTCACTTCTCACGAGGCCAAACAGCAAACTCCACAAAGAGGGGGCTGAGCTCAGCTGCGGCAGCGGCAGCGACAGTAGCGCGAGGAGTGGACTGAGAGAGCTCGCTCTGTGAGCAGAGAGTGAGAGGAGGGAGGAGCAATGGAGACGATGGCAGCGGCTCCCGCGCCGCAGCAGAGGACGGGGCGCATCGCGCGGAGGCTGGCCAGGCTGCTCCGCCGCAAGAGCTCCCCGGCGGGGGCGGGGGGGATGGCGTACTCCGTCGCAGGGGACGACTTCGACGACTCACTCGACAGCTCCATCAACTCGCTCAGCAAGCTCAAGCTGTCCGGCAACCTGGCAGCTGCCTACACGCTGGACGCCTTCTTCAAGAATGCCACGGAGACGAAGGGGACGGCGGCGGCGGCGCCGCAGACGCAGCCGTCGCCTGCGCCTGCGCCGGTGCCGGCGCCGGGGGCGCAGGACGCCGCGAAGCACGCTTTCGTGGCGACCCTGTTCGCTCGGGCGTCCGCGGTGAAGGCGGCGTACGCGCAGCTGCAGCTGGCGCAGCACCCGTACGACGCCGACTCCATCCAGGCGGCCGACGCCGGCCTGGTGGCGGAGCTCACCAAGCTGTCGAGCCTCAAGAGGCGGTACGCCAGGGACCCGGCCGCCGCGGCGTCCAGGAGTGCCGCCGCCGCGCTCGCCCTCGCGGCGCACGCCGACGAGCAGCGCCACCTGCTCCGGACCTACGAGATCACGGCGCGCAAGCTGGAGGCGGAGCTCCGCGTGCGGGACGCCGAGGCCGAGCGCGCGCGCGCCGCGCTGGCCGACGAGGTTCGCGCCGCGCGTGGCCTGGAGGAGCGCACCCGCACCCTGGCGTCGCTGGACGACCTCCACCTCTCCGGCCTCAACGCCACCCACTTCCTCACGGCGCTGCGGCACGCCGTCAAGTCCGTCCGCGCCTTCGCCAGCGCAATGCTCCACGCGATGCGGGCGGCCGGCTGGGATCCCGAGGCGGCGGCGGCGGCCGCGGCCGCCGTGCACCCGGGCGCCAGGCTGCGGGACCCGGCGGGCGACGCCAGGTTCGCGCTCGAGTCCTACGTGGCGCTGAAGATGTTTGCTGGGTTCCACCGCAAGGACCTGGGCCTGAGCTCCCTCCACGGGCGGGGCGCCTCCACGACCGCCGCCGCTTCTTCGAGGAGTTCGCGGAGGCCAAGTCCGCGGCCGCGGCGGAGTTATTAGTCCAGGACGACGCGGGGCGGTGGGGCGCGCTCCGCGAGTTCCTGCGGGACAGGTACGTGTGCGTGGTGCACAAGCGGATGGAGGCGGCCTTCTTCGGGGGCGCGTCTTCGTCGGCGGTCCCGCGCGCCGCGTGGCTCGGCGAGTTCGCGGAAATGGCGCGGCGCGTGTGGCTGCTGCACTGCCTGTTCTGGGCGTTCGACGGCGCCGCGTCGGTGTTCCAGGCGCGCCCCGGGGACCGGTTCTCGGAGGTGTTCATGGAGAGCGTCAGCGACGCGGACGGCGGCGGGACGACGCCGGTTCCAGCGCAAGCACCGAGCGGGCACCTCGCCGTCGGGTTCACCGTGGTGCCGGGGTTCCAGCTCGGCCGGACGGTGATACAATGCCGGGTCTACCTTTCCCACTCGGAGCACCGGCCCTGAGGAGTCCGTGTCAGCGTCAGCGAGCGTGCCACACTTGGGTCGGCCTTGTCGCACACGGGGGACGCGGCGGCGAGGTCCCCGGCCGGCGGGCGGAGCGCCGGAGCGGGGCGTGGGGTTTAAGGGTGGCGGTGGCAGGCAACAATGCTCCCTAGGAAGCAGTTTGGTATGTCTACGTTTGTATGTATGTATGTATGTATGTATGGATCCAAGTATGTATCTACCTACCACCACTAGGAATGTAGTAACTAGTAAGTATAATGTGAGCATTCCATTTCGAATCTACAAAAGTATTTGCAATTTTGGTAACGACAAGACAGATGTGGTCGCCATGGGTGCCTGGATCGCATGCCTGCCTGCGGCTGGTCCTCCGATCCAATTGCATTTTCATAGCATAGTACTCTTCCCTTTTTTTTTTCTTTTTGGGGGTACGTACGTACATGCATGAGAGCATGAATGCGGCCGGCGATCTACACCCTGCTCGCTATACATTTTTAATCAACAAATAATATTATTTTTCTTTTACAGCAAATCAGTCATCAGTACTTTCAGCCACAGCAAAGCAAACAGGACACTAGATCGGGAATGTAGTGCACGCACATTCTCCTCCATCTCCCTTACCACTTGACTTGGGAAAAGAGAAGACGGCGCATGAGCTCCATATCTGTCTTCCAGCACCACATGGGCAGGGCAGACGACGACGGACGGATGCTTGAGCTTTCCTATCTAGCTGCTGCATGCCATGCCGTCTGGCGTGCGTTTCGGTGTCCCCGGCGGTGGCAGTGGCGCGAGGGCGTCCGTCCGATGGCTGGAGCGGCCCAGCCTCCGTCCAGCGCCCACATGACGGACGGACGGGGCCACGGGCCGGGGGTAGTGCGATCCGATTGCTCAAGCGAGATAGATAATGGGAGTGGTACATTTAGGCCCCATTTAGTTCCGAAAATTTTTGGCTTTTGATACTGTAGCACTTTCATTTTTATTTGGCAAAAATTATTCAATTATAGACTATTTAGACTTAAAAAATTTGTCTCACGATTTCTCGGCTAACTGTGTAATTAGTTTTTTTTTCGTCTACATTTAGTATTCCATATGCCGCAAGATTTGATGTGACGGAGAATCTTAAAAAATTTTGGTATTTGGCTTTGAACTAAACGGGGCCTTACACATGGGTTGGGACTTGGGACCCCAACAAGACGGTGTCGCTGTCGCACAGTAACAACACGGCGCAAAGGTTTGGCAGCTAGTACTGCTGGCTATATGCGATCCAGACAGAACGCCAGGCTTCACTGTGCCATGCCATGTTCGCGTCACATAATACGCTACTGCCTCCGCACAAAAGCTCCTTGATTTGCCCAACATTTTCACGGCGGTCGATCTCTTGCTCGGTGGTTCCGTCAGATGGAGACGGTGCCAAAGATCGTGCCGGTGCGAGCGAGTGACGGTGGCCAATGATGTCACTGTACTGCTACGGCTCAACGACACAGGTGGTTCGTGTGTGTGGTGTAGTCGTGCGCCGTATCTGCTTCTGCGCCAGGAAGATCCTGCGAGCGAGCCATTGCTTTCGTCGTTGGTTGGTTCGGGTTGCCGTCACGCCGGTCATCGCCGGGGGTTGCAGCTTAGCTCTCGGAAGTACGTGGATTGCCACCATAAAAATTAAAAGGCCTCGTGTACCTCGACAGCTTCCTGCAGATCCTTTTCGCCGCTTGTGATTCGTCAGTGTGAATACAAGAACCTCGTCGTCGGCACCGTAGCGTGGCAAGCATAACATTTCCGCTTTGAATATTGTTTAATAATGCAAAAATCAAAACATTTAAATTTTGTCCATGATTCTGTGTTGCATTATAAGATACACGATTTTATTACATATCAAGACATATCATAGAAAAAGCCAAAACGATCTATAATTTGGAACAAACGGGAGTAACTATTACGTAAAACTTAAGTCAATTGTTTTCCTTCTCACCTCACTTTCAAATGTCCAAAATAAACATCCTACCTTAAAAGTTATTTTGGATACGTATTTGCAAAACCCAAATCCTTCAAAAATCTCCTACAAAATATATATAGAAATTGATACACACATGTAGTCTTATTTGGTTAGATCTCTTTGTAACCGACTAGAAAACCAATCTATATCCTACTAGAGAAGTCAATTTGTAATCCTATCTTCTAAGCTATATAAAGAGAAGTAGCGAACCCTCAATGGCTATCGACAGTCATCTTGACGAGCATACACCAACACCCCCAAGGATCTTTGCATGCCGGCTCGTGCCTAAACCAATACAAATCTATGTCTCATGTGCAACTCTTCTTATCTATTGTAACATTGGATTACTAGTCGGATGTCAAAATAATCTAACCTCTTGAACTATATAAGCAAAGATAGCGAGCCCCAGATGGGTATTGAGAGTCATGAACTAGATGTAAGACACATCATACCTGAAACAATGTATGCTGTTTTTACACAGCTCAATATTTTTTATGTTTTATTAGATTGTTTCACTCAATTGTTCATGGATTCTAGTTCATGTAAAAATCAGATCTGTTTACTGTAATCCGATGTGATAGAAAGAGGGGCTCTAGCTTAAGCCTAAGTTGATCCTTACTTACTGTTCAAGGTGTCTGCTACACAATAAGGTATTAAGGTAGACGAAGCCACTAGTTTACTTAACTGATTTTGCCCCCAAGCATCACACCAACCCATGGCTTCTGTGAATTTAAGGCTTGCTTGCAACTTCAGCATCCAAGAAGAATTTAGAATTTATATGATAATCAATTGAAGTGTGTTTTAGTAGATGTGTGTATTGCCAAATATATCAACTAAATGGCTCATCTACTAAACATCTTTAATCAGGCCGTGGCTCTAGCGCTAAGAATTTCTAGGGTTAGGGATGAGCAGGTTCATATGTTCTTAGATGGTCAGCTAGAGCTGTGATAAACCGCCCTTAGCGTTTCATTGTTTTCCCAAGGTTTGGATTTCTGACGTCACTTCTTTGTCGGGCTTGATCATGATTTCTATAAACATCGGCAAAAAGTGGCATTTGCTAGCATGAACCGAAAGATGATACATTTGAAAATATTACATTCCATGATTCCTGCTCCAAGTTGACTCTTTGTCCCATCTTTTCCTTCTCCTTTCTTCAGTTCTTCCTTTATCTTTTTCTGATGAGGGGAAGGGGAATAATCCCAGCTGTTCACGTAGCCCCTTTTTTGTCGCTTGGATTCATGCAAATTTACTAGACCGAGGCCCATAGGCTGATGTGATGATGCAGCGGGCCTAAAAAGGCCTATTCTCTCTTATATTACCAGTACACTACAATCTGTTTCCTTTTTTCTTTTCTCCGCCGAGGATGCTACTAATTAGTACTGTGGCAGTAAAATATGCAGGTGTCGGACAAAGGCCTCTGATGCACTTATGAGCGGGCCATTGCTCATTCCATTGGGACCAGCTGGGAATCGGACTTGGGTCAGCGAGTCAAAACTCGAAGGGCATCATTGAGATTTGAGAATAAACTACACGAACTACCAAGTGCCAAAGGCTGAGTGCTCACTAGATACTCAGTGTTTGTCTGTTGATTTCAGTCAGGATTTATCAGTCATAATATATTGTTTTTTTCTCACTTATTAGTTCAGAAACTAACCAGCGAACAGGCTGACTGGCTGGTTTTGTTAAAGCCCCGAGCAAATTTGCCCGATCTGAACCCTACCTGCACGTTGCCTTCGATACATTTGATTAGCTGCCGGTACGGTGTTGCCATTGCCTGGCCGGTGAAAACGAAACATACATGTAGCTCTGTGTTAGCTTCCTTGTTTCTACGTTTTCTCTTGTTTCTTTTGCCTGGTTTCTATTTTTCTTTAATAAACTGCCTGACCTTCTACATATATATCATGGCGATCAGTTGCTTGATGACCATAGATCTATTAATCATGAGGCAACACTTAATTATTTCTTTACAATACTTTATTGTCGCTGTTACTTATTAGTCTTTAATACACGTGTGGGAAGAAGAACACCAATGTTTTTTTTTTGCGAGGAAAAAATAAAACTAGTGTAGATCATCCATTTACATGAGTCAAACTATAAAAGTACAATATGCTAATCATACATCATACTAGGAGCGGATTAGTATTATGCATACTCTATTAGCCGTTTATATAAGGCCCAGTTTAGATGCAATTTTTTTTGCAAAATGAGCAAGGTAGCATTTTCGTTGTTATTTGTCAATTAGTGTTTAATCATAGTCTAATTAGGTTTAAAAGATTCGTCTCGTGGATTTCGTCTAAACTGTGTAATTAGTTTTATTTTTTATTTATATTTAATGTTTCATGCATGCGTCTAAAGATTCGATGTGATGGAGAATCTTGAAAAATTTGGCAAAACAAAATAGAACTAAACAGAGCCTAAGAGTATATATACGTCCAACCAAACAGATATTCGACTGAGAGATAAAAAAAAAGCCATCAATCAAACTTTGTAGAAAATGCTTGGGAAGGCATATGGACGTTGCTGGGGACTTGTTGGACCAACGGTCGGAAACTGGAGCCCCTCCGACCTCTGTCCCATCAGCTCTGAGCCTAATAGCAGGGGCCGGTCGGCCGGATAGGGATAGACGATGGCTGTTGAATCATAATACCAGTACGGACCGCGCGGCGCCGGCCGGCCAACTCACGACGCAATCCACGGTCCACCCACCGACCGGCCGCGAAAGCGCAACCGTGCTTGTGGGTTGCACAACAAGCAAACACACAAAGGTTGCGGAGGCATCGATGCCGTGTGGCGTGTGCCACGTGTGTGGGCGCTGGGCGGTTCCTTCCCGCGCTCCGCACGGGCACGCGGCTTGTGTTGTGTGGCCAGGCAGGGGCCATCTGAGGGCAGGCATCCTCTAGGGAACGTGGGAACATTATTATTGCCTGTAGATAAATGATGCAGCAATAATTAATAACGAATAATACTACAATATACATAGGCCTTGTTTAGTTCGTGGTTAGGAATCAGTATTTGA